AGAATCCCACAGTACACTACCAGGTCCCCACCCTCACAGGCCCCCCAAACCACAGTGTTGGAGAGGAAACTGAAGGTATGGTACACAAATGCTGATGGAATAACAAATAAGTGGGAGTGCCATGAAAGAGTCAAAGAGGCATCACTAGACATCATAGCTCTCACAGAAACCAAGTTTACAGGTATAACAGATGCCATCTTTCCAATGGGATACCAGATCCTGAGGAAAGACAGAGGGAACAGGGGGTGGAGGAGTGGCACTACTGATCAAAAACCGATGGAATTTTGATGAGCTGGAGAGAGGAGACAGTGGAGAAGCAAGTGATTACATAGCAGAAACACTTCAGTCTGGAGGTCCCAACGTGGTAATTGCAGTGATGTATAACCCACCACAGAACAGCAGGAGGCCAAGGCAAGAGTATGATGAGAGCAATAGAACGATGGTTGACACACTGGCTGCAGTGGCCAGAAGGGCTCATGCATGCAGGGCAAAGCTACTGATCATGGGTGACTTTAACCACAAGGAAATCGATTGGGAGAACTAGGAGTCACAGGGGGGCCAAGATACATGGAGGGCTTAGATAATGGAGGTGGTACTGGAAAACTTCATGTACCAGCACGTAAGTGACGCTACAAGAGAGGAGAGGATGAACCAGCAAGACTGGACCTAGTATTCACCTTGAGTAGTGCAGATATTGAGGACATCACATATGAAAGACCCCTTGGGGCCAGCGATCATGTGGTTTTAAGCTTTGAATACACAGTAGAGCTACAAGTGGGGGGGAAGCAGGAAGGCCCGGGTGAATGAAGCCAAACTACAAGAAAGGGGACTACATAGGAATGAGGAACTTCCTGAATGGGGTTCAGTGGGACAGAGAACTGGCAGGGAAGCCAGTAAATGAGATGATGGAATATGTAACAACAATATGCAAGGAAGCTGAGGAGAGGTTTGTACCCAAGGGTAACAGGAATAATGAAAAAGCCAGGATGAGCCCATGATTCACCCAAAGGTGCAGGGAGGCAAAAACCAGGTGTGCTAGGGAATGGTAGAAGTATAGAAGGCAAAGAACCCAGGAGAATAAGGAGAGCAGTCATAGAGCCAGAAATGAATGTGCACAGATAAGAGGGGAGGCCCAACGACAATATGAAAGCGACATAGCAGCAAAAGCCAAATCTGACCCGAAGCTGTTATACAGCCACATCAGGAGGAAAACAACAGTCAAGGACCAGGTAATCAGGCTAAGCAAGGAAGGAGGAGAGACAACAAGAAACGACCGTGAAGTATGTGAGGAACTCAACATGAGATTCAAAGAAGTGTTCACAGAGGAGACAGAAGGGGCTCCAGAGAGACATAGAGGTGGGGTACACCACCGAGTGCTGGACACAGTACACACAACCGAGGAAGAAGTGAAGAGGCTTCTGAATGAGCTAGATACCTCAAAGGCAATGGGGCCAGATAACATCTCTCCATGGGTCCTGAGAGAGGGAGCAGAGGAGCTATGTGTACCCTTAACAACAATATTCAATACATCTATCGAAACAGGGAGATTGCCTGAGGCATGGAAGACAGCAAATGTAGTCCCAATTTTTAAAAAAGGAGACAGACATGAAGCACTAAATTACAGACCAGTGTCACTGACATGTATAGTATGCAAAGTCATGGAGACGATTATCAGGAAAAGAGTGGTGGAACACCTAGAAAGGAATGATCCCATCAACACCAGCCAACATGGTTTCAGGGACGGGAAATCCTGTGTCACAAACCTACTGGAGTTCTATGACAGGGTGACAGCAGTAAGACAAGAGAGAGAGGGGTGGGTAGATTGCATTTTCTTGGACTGTAAGAAGGCGTTTGACACAGTTCCACACAAGAGATTAGTGCAAAAACTGGAGGACCAGGCAAGGATAACAGGGAAGGCACTATAGTGGATCAGGGAATACTTGTCAGGAAGACAGCAGCGAGTCATGGTACGTGGCGAGGTGTCAGAGTGGGCACCTCTGACCTGTGGGGTTCCACAGGGGTCAGTTCTAGGACCAGTGCTGTTTCTGGTATTTATGAATGACATGACGGAAGGAATAGACTCCGAAGTGTCCCTGTTTGCAGATGACGTGAAGTTGATGAGAAGACTTCATTTGGTCGAAGACCAGGCAGAACTACAAAGGGATCTGGACAGGCTGCAGACCTGGTCCAGCAATTGGCTCCTGGAGTTCAACCTCACCAAGTGCAAAGACATGAAGATTGGGGAAGGGGAAAGAAGACTGCAGACAGAGTACAGTCTAGGGGGGCCAGAGACTACAAACCTCACTCAAGGAAAAAGATCTTGGGGTGAGTATAACACCAAGCACATCTCCTCAGGCACACATCAACCAAATAACTGCTGCAGCACATGGGCGCTTAGCAAACCTCAGAACAGCATTCCGACATCTTAATAAGGAATCGTTCAGGACGCTGTACACCGTGTACGTTAGGCCCATATTGGAGTATGCGGCACCAGTTTGGAACCCACATCTAGCCATGCACGAGCAAGAGGAGGCAGTTAGGGTAAGATTTAAACTAGTGGAGGATAGATGGGCTAGTGAGAGTATAGGCAATGGGATCGAAGATGTATGGGATAGGTTTAAGAATGTTGTCTTAGAGTGTTCAGCAGAAGTTTGTGGTTACAGGAAAGTGGGTGCAGGAGGGAAGAAGAGCAATTGGTGGAATGATGATGTAAAGAGATAAGTAAGGGAGAAAAGGTTAGCATATGAGAGGTTTTTACAAAATAGAAGTGATGCAAGGAGGGAAGAGTATATGGAGAGAAAAAGAGAGGTTAAGAGAGTGGTGAAGCAATGTATAAAGAGAGCAAATGAGAGAGTGGGTGAGATATCAACAAATTTTGTTGAAAATAAGAAAAAACTTTGGAGATTAATAAGCTGAGGAAGCCTAGGGAACAAATTGATTTGACAGTAAAAATAGGAGAGGAGAGCTATTAAATGGAGAGTTAGAGGTATCGAGAAGATGGAGGGAATATTTTGAGGAATTGTTTAATGTTGAGGAAGATAGGGAAGCAGTGATTTTGTGTATAGGGCAAGGAGGAATAGCATCTTGTAGGAGTGAGGAAGAGCCAGTTGTGAGTGTGGGGGAAGTTTGTGAGGCAGTTGGTAGAATGAAATGGGATAAGGCAGCTGGGATTGATGGGATAAGGATAAAAATGCTAAAAGCAGGTGAGGATATAGCTTTGTAGTGGTTGGTGCTATTATTTAATAAATGTATGGAAGAGGGTACGGGGCTTGGGGATTGGCAGAGAGCATGCATAGTTCATTTGTGAAAAGGCAAAGGGAACAAAAGAGAGTTCAAAAATTATAAAAGAATAAGTCTGTTGAGTATACCTGGTAAAGTGTATGGTAGTGTTATTATTGAAAGAATTAAGAGTAAGACAGAGAGTAGGATAGCAGATGAACAAGGAGGATTTAGGAAAGGTAGGGGGTGTGTGGACCAGGTGTTTACAGTGAAACATATAAGTGAACAGTATTTAGATAAGGCTAAGGCTAAAAGGCGTATGACAGGGTGGATAGGGAAGCAGTGTGGCAGATGTTGCAGGTGTATGATATAGGAGGTAGGTTACTGAAAGTAGTGAAGAGTTTTTATAAGGATAGTGAGGCTCAGGTTAGAGTAAATAGGAGAGAAGGAGATTATTTCCCAGTAAAAGTAGGCCTTAGACAAGGATGTGTGATGTTACCGTGGTTGTTCAATATATTTATAGATGAGGTTGTAAGAGAAGTGAATGCGAGGCGTGTGAATGGCAAGATGTGTGGAGTTAAAAGATAAAGAATCACACATAAAGTGGGAGTTGTAACAGTTGCTCTTTGCTGATGACACTGTGCTTTTGGGAGATTCTGAAGAGAAGTTGCAGAGGTTGGTGGATAAATTTGGTAGGGTATATAAAAGAAGAAAATTAAAAGTGAATATAGGAAAGAGTAAGGTGATGAGGATAGCAAAATATTAGGTGACGAAAGATTGGATATATTGGAGGGAGAGAGTATGGAGGAGGTGAATGTATTCAGATATTTGGGAGTGGACGTGTCAGCAGATGGGTCTATGAAGGATGAGGTGAATCATAGAATTGATGAGGGAAAAAGGGTGAGTGGTGTACTTATGAGTCTGTGGAGACAAAGAACTTTGTCCGTGGAAGCAAAGAGGGGAATGTATAAGAGTATAGGTATACCAACACTCTTATATGTGTGTGAAGCATAGGTGATGAATGTTACATTGAGGAGAAGGCTGGAGGCAGTGGAGTTGTCATGTCTGAGGGCGATGTGTGGTGTGAATATAATGCAAAGAATTCGTAGTTTGGAAGTTAGGAGGAGGTGTGGGATTACCAAAACTGTTATCCAGAGGGCTGATGAGGGGTTGTTGAAGTGGTTCAGACATGTAGAGAGAATGGAACGAAACAGAATGACTTCGAGAGTGTTTAAATCTGTAGTGGAGGGAAGGCAGGGTAGGGGTCAGCCCAGGAAAGGTTGGAGGGAGGGGGTAAAGGAGGTTTTGTGTGCTAGGGGCTTGGACTTCCAGCAAGCATACGTGAGCATGTTTGATAGGAGTGAATGGAGACAAATGGTTTTTAATACATGAATTGCTGTTGGAGTGTGAGCAAAGTAACATTTATGAAGGGAGTCAGGAAAACCGGAAGGCTGGACTTGAGTCCTGGAGATGGGAAGTACAGTGTCTGCACTCTGAAGGAGGGGTGTTAATGTTGCAGTTTTATAACTGTAGTGTAAAGCACCCTTCTGGCAAGACAGTGATGGAGTGAATGATGAAAGTTTTTCTTTTTCGGGTCACCCTGCCTTGGTGGGAATCGGCCAGTGTGATAATAACAATAAAAAATAAAAGTATTTCACTACTGTTGCCTCTGTATTTGACTGAAGAAGCCCACTGTGTAGGCGAAACGTTTCATCAATAAAGACACCCAAGTGTTGTACATGTGTCTTAATTCATTCTTACGTTCTTACGATCTCTTGCAGGAAGAGGCTGTGTCAACACTGGAGAAGTGGGGCATCTCCCGTGATACCCTGGAAGATGGAGCTACCCTGGGCGCCCGCTCGCCATCCCTAGCTACTTACCGCATCCTCCTGCATCGCTTGATGACCAGGCCAGCTACCCCAAACACGACCAACCACAACACTTCTACCGACACTCTGGTCTCATCTCTCCCCACCTCCTCCTCACCTTCCACCCCCAGCAAGGATAGAAGACGGCTACCCAGGCTGCCCAAAAATGGGCATGCCGTTAACGCCACCTACGGAGGCGTCAAGTCCCGTGCGTGTATTATAGTGTAGTAGATTGTATTGTTGTATTCTTGATGTGATAAATCTGTATACATCATACTGCAGGTTGTATGTGAAGGCCAGCAGGTTGATGTAATAATAGGCTAGCAGGTTGATGTAAGTGAAGGCTAGCAGGTTGATGTAAGTGAAGGCTAGCAGGTTGATGTAAGTGAAGGCCAGCAGGTTGATGTAATAATAGGCTAGCAGGTTGATGTAAGTGAAGGCTAGCAGGTTGATGTAAGTGTAGGCTAGCTGGTTGATGTAAGTGAAGGCTAGCAGGTTGATGTAAGTGAAGGCTAGCAGGTTGATGTAAGTGAAGGCTAGCAGGTTGATGTAAGTGTAGGCTAGCTGGTTGATGTAAGTGAAGGCTAGCAGGTTGATGTAAGTGTAGGCTAGCTGGTTGATGTAAGTGAAGGCTAGCAGGTTGATGTAAGTGAAGGCTAGCAGGTTGATGTAAGTGTAGGCTAGCTGGTTGATGTAAGTGAAGGCTAGCAGGTTGATGTAAGTGTAGGCTAGCTGGTTGATGTAAGTGAAGGCTACAAACTGGCATAGTGCCTGATAAATGGAAAATGGAAAATGTAATACCTATTTACGAGGCAGGTGACAGGTCCTTGGTTTCGAACTATAGACCAATAAGCCTTACCTCCATAGTGGGAAAATTTATGGAATCAATAATTGCCGAAGCAATTCGTAGCCATCTCGACAGGCACAGATTGATTAATGAATCTCAACACGGTTTTACAAAGGGGCGTTCCTGTCTTACGAATTTACTAACTTTTTACACTAAGGTGTTTGAGGAGGTAGATCATGGTAATGAATATGATATTGTGTATATGGACTTCAGTAAGGCTTTCGATAGGGTTCCACACCAGAGGCTATTGAGGAAACTTAAGGCACACGGAATAGGAGGAGAAATTTTTCCTGGGTAGACGCATGGCTGACAAATAGACAGCAGAGAGTTTGCATAAATGGGGAGAAATCAGAAGGGGGGAAACGTCACAAGCGGTGTTCCTCAGGGGTCGTGTTGGGCCCGTTGTTGTTCACAATTTACATAAACGACATAGATGAGGGAATAAATAGCGGCATAAGCAAATTTGCTGATGACACCAAAATGGGCCGTTAAAATTCATTCTAATGAGGACACAAGAGCACTCCAGGATGTTTTGAAATAGACTGATACAAGGGTCGGAGAAGGGGCAGATGCAGTTTAATATTGACAAATGCAAAGTTCTAAATGTTGGACAGTTAAATAAACAATGCCACTATAAACTAAATAATGTAGATCTTAATACTACTGATTGTGAAAAGGATTAGGAGTTCTGGTTAGCAGAAATCTAAAACCAAGACAACATGCATTAGTGTTCGCAATAAAGCTAACAGAATTCTTGGCTTCATATCTAGAAGTATAAATAATAGGGGTCCTCAGGTTGTTCTTCAACTCTATATATCCTTGGTTAGGCCTCATTTAGATTATGCTGCTCATTTTCTGGTCACCGAAATTACAGAATGGATATAAATGCTCTGGAAAACGTACGAGGAGGATGACAAAGATGATCCCATGTATCAGAAATCTTCCCTATGAGGATAGACTGAAGGCCCTGAATCTGCCTCTCTCGAAAGGCGTAGAATTAGGGGGGATATGATTGAGGTGTATAAAGGGAAAAACGGGAATAAAAAAAGGGGGATGTAGAGTGCTGAAAATTTCCAGCCAAGACAGGACTCGCAGCAATGGTTTCAAGTTGGAAAAATTCAGATTCAGAAAGGATATAGGAAAGCACTGGTTTGGTAATAGAGTTGTGGATGAGTGGGACAAACTCCCGAGTACAGTTATTCAGGCTAAAACGTTGTGTAGTTTTAAAAATAGGTTAGATAAACACATGAGTGGGTGTGGGTGGGTGTGAGTTGGACCTGACTAGCTTGTGCTGCTGGGTCTGGTGCAGTGCTCCATCCTTGAGTGGAGGTGACCAGACTGGGTGGGTCATTGGGCTACTCCGGGGAGGGACATGGGCCTGCTCCGCATGGGTCAGTAGGTCTGTTGCAGTGTTCTTATGTAAGTGTAGGCCAGCAGGTTGATGTAAGTGAAGGCTAACAGGTTGATGTAAGTGAAGGCTAGCAGGTTGATGTAAGTGAAGGCTAGCAGGTTGATGTAAGTGTAGGCCAGCAGGTTGATGTAAGTGTAGGCCAGCAGGTTGATGTAAGTGTAGGCCAGCAGGTTGATGTAAGTGAAGGCTAGCAGGTTGATGCAAGTGGAGGCCAGCAGATTGATATAAATGAAGGCCAGCAGGTTGATGTAAGTGTAGGCCAGCAGGTTGATGTAAGTGTAGGCCAGCAGGTTGATGTAAGTGTAGGCCAGCAGGTTGATGTAAGTGAAGGCCAGCAGGTTGATGTAAGTGAAGGCCAGCAGGTTGATGTAAGTGTAGGCCAGCAGATTGATATAAGTGAAGGCCAGAAGGTTGATGTAAGTGTAGGTCAGCGGGTTGATGTAAGTGTAGGCCAGCAGGTTGATGTAAGTGTAGGCCAGCGGGTTGATGTAAGTGTAGGCCAGCAGGTTGATGTAAGTGTAGGCCAGAAGGTTGATGTAAGTGAAGGCCAGCAGGTTGATGTAAGTGTAGGTCAGCGGGTTGATGTAAGTGAAGGCCAGCAGGTTGATGTAATGTAGGTCAGCGGGTTGATGTAAGTGTAGGGCCCGCAGGTTATGTAAGTGAAGGCCAGCAGGTTGATGTAAGTGTAGGTCAGCGGGTTGATGTAAGTGTAGGCCAGCAGGTTGATGTAAGTGTAGGCCAGAAGGTTGATGTAAGTGTAGGTCAGCAGGTTGATGTAAGTGTAGACCAGAAGGTTGATGTAAGTGTAGGTCAGCGGGTTGATGTAAGTGTAGGCCAGCAGGTTGATGTAAGTGTAGACCAGAAGGTTGATGTAAGTGTAGACCAGAAGGTTGATGTAAGTGTAGGTCAGCAGGTTGATGTAAGTGTAGACCAGAAGGTTGATGTAAGTGTGGGCCCAGCAGGTTGATGTAAGTGTAAAACCAGAAGGTTGATGTAAGTGTAGACCAGAAGGTTTGAGTAAATGTAGCCCAGAAGGTTGATGTAAGTGTAGACCAGAAGGTTGATGTAAGTGTAGACCAGAAGGTTGATGTAAGTGTAGACCAGAAGGTTGATGTAAGTGTAGACCAGAAGGTTGATGTAAGTGTAGGCCAGCAGGTTGATGTAAGTGTAGACCAGAAGGTTGATGTAAGTGTAGACCAGAAGGTTGATGTAAGTGTAGACCAGAAGGTTGATGTAAGTGTAGGCCAGCAGGTTGATGTAAGTGTAGACCAGAAGGTTGATGTAAGTGAAAGACCAAAAGGGTTTGATGTAAGTGTAGACCAGAAGGTTGATGTAAGTGTAGGCCAGCAGGTTGATGTAAGTGTAGACCAGAAGGTTGATGTAAGTGTAGACCAGAAGGTTGATGTAAGTGTAGACCAAAAAGGGTTAAATGTAAGGTAGGCCAGCAGGTTGATGTAAGTGTAGACCAGAAGGTTGATGTAAGTGTAGACCAGAAGGTTGATGTAAGTGTAGACCAGAAGGTTGATGTAAGTGTAGGCCAGCAGGTTGATGTAAGTGTAGGTCAGCGGGTTGATGTAAGTGTAGGCCAGCAGGTTGATGTAAGTGTAGACCAGAAGGTTGATGTAAGTGTAGACCAGAAGGTTGATGTGAGTGTAGGTCAGCAGGTTGATGTAAGGGAAGGGTCACAGCTTCTGTGTTGTACACTCAGCTCCCCTCTACAGTATACAACCCTCGCTCCCCGCTCGGTTAAAAATAGCTTATTGGAACATGACTAACGAGTACTGTGAAGGTCTTTCACCTAGATGTACTTCATCAGTTGCTTTCTCCAAACATAGCACTGTAAATGTAGTGACTATAATATATCAGTGGCACACAACTGAGAGCACGTTTTGCCCTCCTGGGCGAAACGTCTTCTCAAACGACAGGAACACCATACTGCAACATAAGTATTATTGTACACGTAGGGAATATTATTTTTGAGTGAAAAGACAAAAGAAATATATCCTGGCCCTGGGAGTAAATATTATCTGTATTGTAGAGAAGAGATACTTCTTAAGGCGTCATTATACCGGTGGGGAGCGCTAAATCTGTAGGGGCCACACAGCACCTGGCGAATACCAGGTAATGACATTTAGTAATAATGATAATAATAATGTGTAGATAGTGCTGTATAATGTATATAGTAAACTGTTGTATAATGTACATAAACTAATTTGTAATGTAGGAGTACTACTGTATAATGTGCAGTAATAATGTATAATGTACAGTAACCGCTGCATAATGTACAGTAACCACTGTATAATGTACAGTAAAAACTGTTAAAGTACAGGTTTTCCACGGGATAAAGTACATAACCCCTGTATAATTTTTCATAACCAGTAAAAATGTACAGTAACCCCCTGTATTAAAAGTGTAGCCTCAGACAGGGACCAAAACCTAGTGGTTTATCAAATCGAAAATTAAATTGGGGGAAAATTTTTTTGTCCCCCAAAAAGAACCCCACTGAGGTGACGAGGAACCACAACTCTGTAAATATTGCTTTATCTTTATCAATAAAGTTTTAATAAAGACATTTATTTACCCAAAAATTTCTGTGGAAGGTGTGTGTACTTTGGGCTGTAAGGTTTTATAAAACTGAGACGGGTGTATAAACCGTGGTTTTAACCCCACAAATTTTTTTAGAAAGACGCGTGGGGAAATACTGTGATTTTTATTTAAATTTTAAGATGTTTTTTTTTTTTTGGGAACCCCTTTACTAAGTTCCAAGGACCCAAAAAGTTTTCTATCATGTTCTATGTTTTAAATTGGTTTTCTTTATAAACCCCTGAAGGTGTATTTTTCTCGGGCTATAAACCCTAATTTACAAAGGGTTTTGGTGGGGGAAAATAAACACAAAATGCATTTTAAAAATTTACCTTTTTTGACAACGTTTCGGGCCCCCACCCGGGGGTTTATCAAGTCACCCAAAAAATCTGGGAAAATTTTTTTTTATGGTTTATACCGACAAGATGTGGGGAAAAAAACCCCCTTTTGTTAAAAAAAGGACATTTATTAAAAAGGGAAAAGTTTCGCCCGGTGGCTTCTTCAGGGGAATAAGGAAAAAATTTAAAAAAACCCATAAAAATTAATTTGTGGCAGGGGGTCAGGGGGGTGGGCGCGTGGGAAAAGGTGGTAGGAATAGTAAAAAAAAAAAATAGTAGTAAAGGAAATAAGGAGGTGAGGCTAGGGGGGGACCCGCTGGGATCAAGTAACACCAGTTTCCCCGGATGGGTAATATCCTCTTGCTTAGTAATTTTTTAAATACTGTAACTACCGGATTTTTGCTTTATAGTGTTACGCAGAAAATTTGGCCCGCCCTTTTAAATTTTCATTTTTCCTTTAAGTGTTTCTTTTAAAAAATAGTTTAGGGTTTCATTGAATTTCATGGGTGTTTTTTTTAACATCGTCTCTATGTTGGGCACATGCGTTTTTTTTGGGCATCCCTTTTTGCAAGCATTTTTGGTTTCTGCTATCCTAAAGTCCAGAGTTCTGGGTTTTTTCCCCTACATTTACTTTTTCACAACCCCCCCCATGGTAAAAGTGTAAATTCCTGCACTTGTGCCAGAATCATGCTTGGGTTTTTTGTATCAGGTTCCTATAGTAGGGTTTAAGAGTGGTAATATTTTAAAACCCCGGTTTTTTTTCAAACATTTTTGAAAAAATTTTTGTTGGGAAAAGTTGCTGACCCGGAAAAAGATGTAATTGGAGGCTTTTCTTCAATTTGATAGGTGTTGGTTGCTGAGGTACGTGTTGCACGTTTCCTGCGTCCGTATGAAGTGTAGGGGAAAGTGTAGTGAACTAAAAGAGTTGGTTTATGTAAATTTCATTCTTTTTTCGAGGAACTGCGGACGGAAATTCTGTAGGCTTTTCAGAAAGGGAAACCAATTTAAATAACCCCCCTTTTAGGGCTTGTGTCTTTGGGGAGAGAAGAA